TGAAGACATCATACAACGTAACTGAATTTGTTGATAGAATAGTCTCTATGGTATCTCAACAAATCTTTATTGAAGACATCATACAACGTAACTGAATTTGTTGATAGAATAGTCTCTATGGTATCTCAACAAATCTTTATTGAAGACATCATACAAAATAATTTAATTTGTTGATAGAATAGTCTCTATGGTATCTCAACAAATCTTTATTGAAGACATCATACAAAATAATTTAATTTGTTGATAGAATAGTCTCCATGGTATCTGAACAAATCTTTATTGAAGACATCATACAACATAACTGAATTTGTTGATAGAGTAGTTTCTATGGTATCTGAACAAATCTTTATTGAAGACATCATACAACGTAACTGAATTTGTTGATAGAATAGTCTCTATGGTATCTGAACAAATCTTTATTGAGGACATCATACAACGTAACTGAATTTGTTGATAGAATAGTCTCTATGGTATCTGAACAAATCTTTATTGAAGACATCATACAACGTAACTGAATTTGTTGATAGAATAGTCTCTATGGTATCTGAACAAATCTTTATTGAAGACATCATACTACATAACTGAATTTGTTGATAGAATAGTTTCTATGGTATCTCAACAAATCTTTATTGAAGACATCATACAACGTAACTGAATTTGTTGATAGAATAGTCTCTGTGGTATCTGAACAAATCTTTATTGAAGACATCATACAACATAACTGAATTTGTTGATAGAATAGTCTCTATGGTATCTGAACAAATCTTTATTGAAGACATCATACAACATAACTGAATTTGTTGATAGAATAGTCTCTATGGTATTTGAACAAATCTTTATTCAAGACATCATACAACATAACTGAATTTGTTGATAGAATAGTCTCTATGGTATCTCAACAAATCTTTATTGAAGAGATCATACAACGTAACTGAATTTGTTGATAGAATAGTCTCTATGGTATCTGAACAAATCTTTATTGAATACATCATACAACATAACTGAATTTGTTGAAAGAATAGTCTCTATGGTATCTGAACAAATCTTTATTGAAGACATCATACAACGTAACTGAATTTGTTGATAGAATAGTCTCTATGGTATCTCAACAAATCTTTATTGAAGACATCATACATTCTATCAACAAATTCAGTTACGTTGTATGATGTCTTCAATAAAGATTTGTTCAGATACCATAGAGACTATTCTATCAACAAATTCAGTTACGTTAAGTCTCTATGGTATCTGAAC